TTATTTGACACAGAGCTGTGGACTTTCCACCACTCTCCAAAATGGGTCTCCCTGTCTTTATTTATCTAAAAGTTTGTGAATTACTACCTAATTAACAAAATAAGCTGTGACTATTTTTCTCTATGTAGCATAAAATTGTTGAAGATTACTACCTTTTCAAACAGTTTAAATTACTATTGCTACCTCTAGAACAACTTTATAATGAATAACTTCATTTTCTCAAGTCAGTCCAACAATTTTGGCCCCAAGACTTTTTAAACACCATGGCTTGGATCTCAAACTCCTCCAACACTCGCTGTCCCTAATTAATGATCTCAGGCTCTCCTTCAACACCTAATTGATGTACAAATGGCCAAATGGGTTTGATCCTGTGAATAGTAATAGGCAAGATAGCCAAGATCCATAAGAATTAAGACATAAAATCCATACAATAAGATGAGATTCTTGTTTCAATATCAGTTTAGAATTAAAAACCCCCTTTCTTTGTCTTCAGTTCACATAACTTGTTCCACTATTTAAAAAAAAAAAAAAAAAAAAAAAAAAAAAAAACTATTGTCAGTTGTCTAAGGTTCCCACATATTCTATTATTACTTATGCTTCACTAACTACCAAACACAAGAAAACTACATTAGACTGCAGATAACCAAACTGGTTAATTGGCTTCCTAAAGCCCTTATTTCAATGCATTTGATTTCAAGAATCAACACCATTGCTCACAATCATATAATGCACAGACTTGCAGTTAAATTGTAAATAGCTCAGCAGCTTATTAAAGAATTTGATGACAAAAATAACAACCTACCTGTGGTGTAGTCAAGATTTCAGCATCTTGTCGGCTAAGTCTAGGGTGCACGAGCACAAAATAGATTTTCCAAAAGGAGCCTTCATTCATGTAGCCCAAGCAAAGTTCAGTTCTAAGGGCAGCCAGTTCAGGTGCAAGACGTTCAACAGCCAATGCATGTTCTTGCTGAGCATTTGACAAGTCAAAATCTGAAAATAGGAGGAAACATCATGAATTGCAAGATACACTAGAAAGATTAAACATTAAAATTAACCCCAAACTAGAAAGAAAAAACATTAGAAATCTAAACCCCAAACCTTCTGTAAAGCAAATAACATAGAACAAAGGCAAAAACGAAACAGGGCAGCAAAATACTGAACGGCAAAAACTAAAAAAAACAAGGATAAAATGTTGCTTTTGTTCTGAGTATATAACTCAACAATTCAGGTTACTTCATCCTCATAGCGTGATTTCGTGGTGAAAATAGAGATGCAACTTTTCATATAATGAGAGTATGAGACTGAATAGTAGAGCAACAAATGTGAGTATATAACTTTCAAACAATCAAACTCTTCCACAAATTATAAACAACTTCTTCTAGATAACCACTTTCAATAGAACAATAATACACTCCTTCAGAAAGTCAGAAATAATAGCCAAATTGTAGCATAACACCTTCTTCTCAACAGAATAAATAAATCATCTATAGTACAGTCCTTCGCAACACGGCCTATCATCGAATGAAATGACATTCAATATTAACCAGCAAGGTGTTCAATCATCTATAGCACTAGGATTTTCTGATAACAAGTAATATCCACAATTCATCATCGAAAAAAAATCAATTTCATAACCAAAAATTAACTCAGTTGGCATTTGGCAATTTCGAAATTTGTAAGCAATATCGTAATGAAAAGGAAAGCAGAACTCAATGTACCTTCATCTTCATCATCATCAGGCAAAGGAAAATCAATCCAAGTCTCAGGATGCATAGCAACATCCCTAGCAAATGCAACAACCTCTTCAGTCGCACCAACAACGCCTCGCTTAGCATAATCCTCGATCGACAAATCATCCTCCGAAGCAAACTGCAGTATATTCGAAGCGATCTTCGAAAACTCAGAAACCGCTTTATTAGTCGATAACTTCGAAATTCCAGACCGAAATCTCCCGCCAATCTCCGACAAATCGTTCCGAATCCCTGTAATTCCAGAAAGATCGTCGGAATCAGGATCGGAATCATCAATCTGCGGATCGCGATCAGAGATCTGAGAAGGAGGGGGAGGAGCGAGAAACGAGGCGACGCCCCAAAGTTGACGAGTTAGGGTTTTGGAGAACTCGGAGAGATCGTCTTTGACGCCTCGAGGAGTGGAGGTTTGATGATCGGAGGGTGAGGATGAATCGGCGGAGTCTGTATTACGAGTGTTGATTTGTTGATCGTCGCCATTATTAGGGTTTTGAGGTCGAAATGGTTGATTTTCTCTGGAATTAGCGGTGGTTGCATCATCTTCCTCTTCGTAGTCATCGAGCTTGAGAGAGTTGGCAATGGAGGTTAGCCATGACATGGCTTTACAGAGGAGAGAGAAAAGGGATGAAGGAGAGTGTGTGTGTGAAAGGGAAGGGAGGGATGAGATAGAATTAGCACCGTCAGTTGATGATTAACTGAAAAGGGAAGAGATTATCGCAACAACTTCGGGTTACCTCATTTGTTTAACCGGAACGTAACTTTGTCTTTTTTTTTGTCTACTACTCTACTCTACGTACTCTATATTGGACTTAGAGTTTGCTCTCATACGATTATTTTTAGTTCGGTTCAGTTCTAATAAGGACATGTTCATATTTACTTATTTTCAGTTCAGCTCCAATTAGTTCAGTTCAATTCAGGTTCAATCAGTTCAGTTCAGTTCAGCTCTTAATTTCGCTCTCTCATAAAATATTCATTTCAACTTAGTTCAGTTTAGTTCAGTTCAGCTCCAATCAGTTCAGTTCAGTTTAGCTCCAATCAGTTCAGTCGAGTTCAGTTCAGCTCAGCTCAGTAAATATGAAAAGGCCCTAAGTTCTGTTCAGTTCAACCCTAAATTTCCTTCTATTATAAAATATTTATTTTACTTCAATTTAGTTTAGTTCAATTCAGTTCAGTACAGCTCTAATAAATTCAGTTCAGCTCATTCACTTAATGAGAACAAGCCCTTACTACTTTCGTTTCAAATTATTTTACTGGTAGTTATTTTTGAGAACTTTGTTTCATGTTATTTTATTAATTAGACATTTTATATTTATATTTTAGGTCAAATTTTTACAAATAATTTAAAATAAAGGAAATATTTTATCTAAATTAAGGGGTTGTTATGATTTACTGAATTGATTGGAGCTAAATTGTACTGTATATTTTACGAGAGAAGAAAATTATGAACTGATTAAAGCTGAACTGAACTAAAGAGTAAACAAGTTGAAGATAACAAACCCATATTGTTACTCTGAAAGTATTTTTAGTGTTACTCTAAAAGTATTTTTAGTGTTACTCTGAATGTAAATTAATTTGTGTTATTGATCATCTGAAATAAACAATTGGATGTCTTATCCATGAATGAGAATTGAAAACTCAAAAATTTGGACTTGTATAGGATGGACGCAAGTTGGCAGAAGTTCATTGTTCATAAAATCTTCCCCCAAAAAATCGTGGTACCTTGAATCTTGCTAGTTGAGACTTGAGAGCACCCCCCTTGTGATAAAAACACGACATGACGTCAAAGTCTGCTTTCTCATTGGCCACCTCCTCTTTGTTTTTATTTCTTTTGAAAATTGACCATGCATATTCCAAATACATTTTCATTGACGAGTACTCCCCAAATTGCACGATATAATGATTTTCATAGCTAAATAATTGATCGATACGAAGTAAATTTTAAACTTGCAAAATAATGTGTCCAACTGATTTAATTAACATAAAAATTTTGCTTATTAGTGTTTTGATAAAAATTAGAAGTCTTATTTATTCATACACATGTTTATGAATTTATTTATGAAAATATAAATCCATTCCATTGATACTCCATAGTAGAATTATTCAAAAAAAAAAAAAAATCATTGTAGAAGACAATGTAGGAAGACTAAATACGCTATGGAGTTGAAATAAAATTTGTCGATCAAAATTCAATATTTTGATAAGTAGTGCCGTAGTACTCCATATAAGACTATGACTATCAACTTGAAGTATTGCAAAGCACGTATGTTCGAATCAAGGAAGAATGTATTGTATGACAAACGTACATAATTATGTTAATTATTTTATGGAGTGCTTTTTGATAGAGAATATCCATAAAATATTCTCATCCTAGGTTTAATTTTTTAATCCACCGGCAAGGTGATAATTTTTGTATATGATCCCAAGATCTAACCTAATGTGATACCATGTCAGATAATATGAAACTCGTTGATTAGAGTGATTTCCACCTAATCATATTAGGTAACTATAAGATATGTACATATATCAAAGATAATCTTATACAAAATATATCCTAAACCTAGGATGAGAATATTCTATGGATATTGTCTATCACTTTTTTTTTAAGTGATATTCATATCAATTAATGATTCATTCTTGCCAAAAAAAATACACTTATATGTCTGTAATTATAAAACGTATATTTTGAAAGTGATATGTAGAAAATGTTTTATGCCTGTTTGATGTATGTATATCGCTTTCTTAATTTGATCTGTTTGCAATATATCTTTTGTTTTGATTATTTCTCTTGGATTTGTTTAAAATTGACTGCTACTTCGTTTCATTTCAGAAATTAATGGTACAATTTACGTACTATTCAAATTGATTTTGAACTTATGATAGATACCATTATATTATCTATCATGCAACCATAATTTGGCATATATTACAATAATGTGGATTTAGGATTCACCTTATCACTCAATCCTAGGGAAACGAATACCACACATCAAATAGCAATTAGTCTAACGATAAATTGATAAATTTGTTAGTCATTTCTTAGTCAAACTATAAATTCTTATATTTTTTTCCCAATAAATGTATAATGGAAAAATCTATAGTCTTGCGACATATTGATAGTTTCATCTGAATTTGTAATTTAAGGAGTTCAATTTTTTTAATTATAAATTTTTATCAATACACAATTACAAATATCGATGATCAAAATCATGTTTTGTAGATCATACATAGGCATTGTATCGTGGAATAAAGAGAGTACATTTTGAATACCTATTATGGAGTATATCATTGCATATTTTCTTATAAATTGGCGTTGAAAAAGTGAGAATTCATTTAACTTAAGAGGTTTTGAGGTTACATTAGCGAACTAGCCCCTGATTACTTATAAATAATGTACACCTTTGAATCTTTTTTTTTTCTTTAATCTTTCCATTCCCATATCCTTTAGATGTCATATTTCCATTGTGTAGTTGTTTTACATTCATCTTGAGATAAAACGAGAAGATCTAAATAAAAATTATATGCCACGTGACCACTCAATAATCAATGGCTTCGTGCCACGTCATGACCTCATAGAATGAATACCACACGTCTTGCCATCTTAACTAGCAATAATTTATGCACCACTCATCCACATAAATGCATATAAATGTAGAATTAAAAAAAACACCTAAACTAAAAACAAATGAAACTCATATCACTCTTTCAATTCTTTTCAACAATTTAACATTATATTTCTACCCGTAAAAAAAAAATTATATTTCTAAATAATTAATACTAAAAAATTCAAACTCTTAATTAAAATATAAAAAAAAAACTCTAAGCAATGGCAGTGCATGAGTAACACTTTAATTTTTAATGAAAATTAGGTTTATAAAAATATTGTACTGATTAAACATTTTTCTGAAATCGGGAGAGAAACTCTAACCTACTCGAGTCATCCCTCATTATCGATAAAACGAATTTTAACCTAGGTGATAAAATTGGGACTCTCGATAAAAACTTGTACGCCGTATTACCTGATACAGTAAATTAAAACCTTCCAAAAATGGCGGTTAAAGAAAAAGCCGCTTAGAATTCGTCTTCATCTATCAAATCTCTTTTGCTTACTCTAAAATTTTCAAATCTTTCTCCTTCTTCCTTTCCCTCCTTCTGCAAATCCCATTTTCTCGATCCCCTAAAACCTCCTCCACCAATACGCATTGTTCATCTGAATTCCTATGCGGGTTATGCCCACCAACTGTTTGTTCTAATTCCTCAGTGAGAACCACCAGTTTACTAGCCATTTTCTGGGAATTTAGGTTGGTATGTTATTGAATTTCTTAAATAGGGTTATATTCCTGTAATTTTATTTATAATTTAGGGTTTTTCCCATATACATTGAGTGTAATCTATGCTGCGATTTCATAATTTGTTGCCGCTTTGTTATCTATTCCGTAGTAGTACTTAATTATGTGAAATTCAATGAAACTGCATTTACGAATTAAGTATTGTGATTGGATCGATAGTAATTGCTTGATATTCTAGCTACATTGCATTAATCAATGATGTCTCTTGCATATACAAACACTTTCAGAAAGCAGCAATTGATTCGATTTCCCTAATTGATTAAGCAGCAGTTTGTTTAGCAAGTGTTGCTGTTCTTAGCTTGATAATTTGTATGTAATGGCTGTAACAACAACGGTTGCTATATAATAACTGCATTGATACTAGGATAAGTTGGTACGAGTAGATTTTCCTTGGGCCTCTGAAGTTGTTTGAATGGATTCATCTTTAATTTGCTACACTAGTAAGTGGTTAGTGCAAGTTTCCCCCACAGGAAGATGATTGTCCTTAGACACAACAATGTATCAAATTGAGCAACACTTGCTTGCTCTTTTCGTGATCATCGATTTGTAATTTAATGAGCAATGACTGAGACTGAGACTATTGAGTTGCTGATTATCCGTTGTTTGCTATGTTGTTTGCGTCTTTCAGATGCCTTTCACCTTTGTCTTCACCACGTGTGGTAATGCAAAGCTCATGGAAGAAGAGAAAAGCATAAGACATGATGAAATTTCGAAGTTTCTAGGAGTTGACTGTAGAAAACTACAAGCAACACTTTTAATGGCCTGTCACTAGCAACATCTATCACCAACACATTACATATTCCACAGTGTAACAGATTCAAAACTAAGAAACTATTGTGATAATAAGGTATGTGGCACTCGTGTGTGCTTTATCTTGTCACGATGGTTTCGCTAAGAATATAAATCTAAAGCTTTGCTTCTAACAGTGACTTTTTGTGTTGCATTGGCATGGCAGAACTGCTATGGCTTGCACTCCTGGAGGGTGTCTTTTCCTTTGCATATCGAGATCGCAACTCAGGAGAGTAATTAACTAATTATCACTTATCAGCGTGCAGACATCGGAGACTGAAGCTGTAAACAAGGTCTGGTATTTTCTTCCTTTCAAAATTATCTGCAGAGCTGTATGGTACATGATATTTTACTGATTTCCACTAGATGAATTTGATGATGCCCTCTTAATCTGTAGATAAAATAAAGTGCGTAGTTGTTTAATACAGCTTTTTCACTTTGCTAGTAAACTTGTTGCAAAAGCGATAAAGTGAATTAATTGAAAAATGCCCCCCCTGTTTGCCTTAAACTAAAAAAAATATTTCAAAGATAAGGTGTGAAATGTGGAAATGTCTTCATATCTTGGCAGCTTGCGTGTTCCAATTGTGAGAGATATTTAGGTAGTTGACCAATACCCAACCTTTTCGTTATGGTTGCAAGTCTAAATGGGACCTAACTCGGAGATTCAGACCTCTCATTTTATTTCTAACTAGGTTTCCTGGTAATTAAAGTAAACTCTTTTTTTATGTTTACTAACAGTTTATTCTTGGTCAGAGACTTTATAAGTATTATTAGCACTATATTATACTCCGTATTATGATGACAGAACGGGCAAAATTGCTATCTTAAGTAACTATAAGTTGACCAATTATTTCACAGTTTTAATAGTCAATATCAAAGGTTTGAATCATACATCTTGTCTACATTTGGCTTTTGTTCTTTTCACATTAAAAAAAAAAAACAGAAAAATGAGAAGCAGCAAGTTCATATTTAGGCTATCCAAGCTGAACAAAGACTAGTTCAGGATGACAGGTTAAGAATTCAAAGTTAGTATTTATCAAGTATAGATAAGGGGAATTCAATGAATGTTTAGTCTTGTTTCAAATTCTGAGTTGTATTCAGCTGAATTTGATACAGGAAATTGTAAATTGTATTGATTTTCTGATGTAAGCTAACTAGTCAAGTAAACAATGAAGGATTTAAGAAAACAATAGGGTTAACTTTCCGGCTTGAATAAGAGACTAAAAGTACATCAGGCCCTTGGAAAAGTGAAAATAGCAGCAAAAACGTAACCTAAAAGTATATAAATACATTAATATTTTTCAAATGAAATGATCATTTCTATATCTGAGATAGAGCAGCTGACCCAGGACTTAACATAGCAAAAGAAAACCAAGCCTGAAAATTTGGGGATAGGATGAGTTCAGTTGTACCCACACCGTTTTGCATCGTCTTTTCTGAGAAAGGTTTCTGATCTTGTTCAACTTTGCATGGCACTTGCTTCTCTGAGTAGTTCGTTAGATCAGTTTGGCTGTTAAGTTGAAGTTGATGAGGGTGAAGTGGCAAAGGAGGTGGAGCAACAACCTGTAGGTTACTACGTCTTGGACGAGCTTGAGGCCGAGAGTAAGACGTAGGCTGTTGTAGCAGGTCAGGTTGTGCTCCAGTGAGCTTCTGAACGAGCTCTCGGAAATGGATAGGCTTAACCTTATAAACCTTTGGTTGTGGAGGACCTGAGGGTCCTAATGCTGATAATGGTTTCACCTTCATGATTTTCGAGGCGGAGGATTTGTGAACTGAGTGGAGATCATAGCGATCTTCTGACTTGTGCTCTTGATGTTTCATACCTTCTAAATTGCTAGTCTAATAGTAGTATATGATTGGTAAAAGATGACGAACAAGAGAAGACAGAAGAGTAAATATATGGGATTTTGAAGTCTGAACAAATTCAAGGTTTTTAAGAAATATGACTTGTACTTCTATTATAAAGGCGGGCAGCTGCTATTATTAATGGAACGTGTTTAAGAAGGTGAGCGGTCAATATCATAGTGCTTGACCTTAGTATAGGACTGTACATTATATAATTCCGTAAATTATTTTATTTTTTATATTTCATTTCATAAAAGGCGTGATTTATTATAATATGTATATGTATACGTATGGGATAAGTGTTTAACACGTGGCTATTTCGGCTTCATGTGTTGTCGGTGGGCCATTAGAGTTGAGTTTTTGACTAGCCGCCTTCTAGTTGGCGGCTATCTAGGAGGTGATGTAGTTGATGATCTCTTTTGCGTAATACTTAGTGCACAATTTAAAAGCTTTCATTTTTTTTAATATCGCTTAATCATATACTCTACTTCGTACTTAATTTCTCTTAATCATATTTTCTTTTAAGAGTTGTTTGAAATATTAGTTGTTAGGTAGTTTAATCCTTAAACATGTAAAGTGGGAGATAATGAAGATTTATGGGTATATAAATAATAAATCTTGTGAACTAATATTAATGGAGACAAATTTAATAGGATATAATCTAAAAGGGAGACATTATGTAAGAGACTGGGTCACTGGGATTGAGTACTTTTATAGTTGTATAGATATGGACTATATAGTAGAACTGTTAATGTGAGAATGTGAGATTGATGATGTAGTTTTAATTAATTGAAGCTTCCAGTTGGGTGATGATAGCTATTTGTTATATACATGTGCTATATTAGCATTGTTGAACCTGTAGTACAATCTTGCTGTGTTGTGAATGTAAGATTTTGTGGATTGACATGTTCATTGGAATTTGGAAGCACCTCAACTTCTCAAGAAGAGTTGTAGAGGTATAGGATATTTGGATCAATTTCATTTTAGGCCAATTTAACATGTTTATATCTATGGGAGACGAGTTATACTGTTCATGTTTTATTGGTCGTATTTGAGTGCGATTTTAAAAAAAAAAAATTAAAAAATAAAATAAAAAATAAAATTGTGGTTTATATTTATGGGAGACGAGTTATACTATATAAGTGTCATGTTATATAAATTACAATTTGGGTAAGAATTTTACAATTCATACGGATTATGGGATACAAATCACTTAATGTCAAATGACTGACCTTCTGTATAATATAACTTGAAAATCTAACAAAATGTAGTTATTTTTTGGTGTTTAGAGAGCCACAAAAGGCGGGGGTGAAAATCGATCCCAAGATCTCTTGAAACCGGGAGGGAAGCTCTAACCACTTGAGCTATCCCTCACTCTTACAAAATGTAGTTATTAATGATTGAATATCATAATATATCATCAATCAAATTAAGTGACGAAGATAGAACAAAATTAATCAACTAGTCGTATAAATTTATGAGGGGTTGGTCCTTGAAGTTTTGGTTTGATAATTTTGCTGGTCCTGGAAGTGTTAATTAACATAGCCATCATCCTCTCTGGTTATCCTTTTATCCGCTGTCGTTTTCTGTTGAAAAAGCTCAACCTCCTGTTTTGGGTTTGGCCCAAGAAGGTTGGACAACCCTTACTGGCCCAACAGAAAAGTCCAACAAGCCCAATTTTGTCTCTCTCGCTCATCTATGGATGTAAACCCAAAAATCATTAATAAGGTCATAGACTCATACGGAATAGTTGTAAAATCACATGGAACTTTCTGTCAAACTCCGTACCAACTACCAAGTACTCATCTTACATGTTTTTGTCTTTATTATATTTGTACGATGAACATATACAATTTTTTTGGGCAGGTTCATTTTACTTTTTAGTCTTTAGGCATTTTTGGAAATCTTATCACTTTGTTGACCAAGTTCACCAAAGTATTATTCCCTCCCGGAGTCCCGGCTAAACGGTTCACCAAAGTACTACGGAGTACTCCATATTTTTTTAGTTTTCATTGCTAAATATAGTTTGTGAATTGTGAGGGCTAAAGATGAACCATTTGAGTTAAAGTAATACTCCGTAGAATTGAAGGCTTTGCTAATCGAACTGGCTTGACATGGTAGTAACTAGTAAGGTATATATTAAGTTATTAACGAAACACAGCTTGTCTGTTACTTCTTCCCACCATAACTTGGCTAGTTTTCCAGATATGGTTTCTTCTCTTTAGGCTTATTCAATAAGATATCTAAGTAACATGAGTACATGACATGGTAGAATATAGTAATTTACTAGGCTAGCTCCCGTGCCCTGCACGGTAATTTTCAATTAATATTTTTGAAATTAACACTATATTGTAATTTCCAATAACTATTTTTAAATTTAACACTATATTTAAAATAAAAAATAAAAAAATTACTTTCGTATGTTATATTCATATCAATTGAATGGAACAACAAAATTTGAAAAAAAAAATATTACACTAATAATAATCAACATGTGCCGGACTTGGAAAGTTTTATTGAAGTATCCATAGTTAATTACAGTATAGTATTAATTGGTTAATATTCTAGTCATAAATAATTCAAAGAAATAGCAAAAGTTTCATTAGTTGATTTGATATGGGCAATTCATTGTTGAAGCTTGTAGCTTAGCTTCTATTAAGAAAATATATAATCTTATTGTAATAAACATAGTGCGTACTACGTACGACATACATAATACATACATATATAATGTATGTCTTTCCTAAAACAAATACTCCATATGTCACAAATATGATAAGAATATTATTTTTTATTTTATTTTTTTTTGCTTAATTTAAGTCATAGTTGTCAATATTTTTTTTTTGAAACACGCATCAAATCTTCTATTATACTTTATATATGTAAATAATTTGATTCTTAAATAATAACTTTTTTTTTAAAAAAAAGGACACACCGGGAAATGACACGTGTCATTGCTGGTGTGTCTTATAGTATATAGTTATTGATTTTCGTATATATTGTGTATATATTCCCCTAGAATATCTCCTAGTATCTCTCTAATAATCTTGTGAATATCCTACTGAATCTTTTTTGATTATGGAATCTCCTATGATCATGTGTGAATCTTCATAACCATGTGAACAAACCAGATATGTTGATTTCAAGGCAATACAGTTGGTCACGGTGTGACTCCTATCATATTCATTCCGTTCCATATTGTTTGATTTGTTTGCACCATTTGCATTTTTGAGAGTATTTAATAAATACTCTACCATTAATTTAGGGCTTGTTTGACATCAGTTTTGGTTTTCAGTTTCTTGTTTTTTTAAAAACCAAAAACCAAAAAAGGAAACAAGAAAAAGTGTTTTCACTTTTATGTTGTCAGTTTTCAAAATTATCATAATTTTAATAACTTTATATAATTTTTGATTCATTATGGGACACATATCATATACTTTTAGAAAACAAAAAACCAAAAAACAGAAAACCACAGCAATGTCAAACGAACCCTTAACATTTAAGTCGGTTGAAGTTGTAAATTGAAAATTTATGACCAGATGAATTTATGAAGATTTCTAGACTGCTGTATATTTTTTCTTTTATGAAATTCATGATAAAAATTTGACAAACATTTATTTACTCTAAAAAAAAGAAAGTGGGGCTAACAATTAGAATGGAGGGAGTATCATTCTGATCCGTAATATTGAATGATGCTCTCTGATGATTTCAATTGGATAAGTAATGTTTGATTGGATCTTTTGAAAAAATAAACATGAAGTTACAGATTGACAGGCTATGAAGATAAAACAAAGAGTAGTACTTTTTTTTATTTTTGATGCAAACAAAGAGTAGTACTTTGTGTAGGGTTTCTATAATCTTTTTGTCATTTTCATTTTTACACTACTGTTTATGCTAATGTTAAATTTGTTAATAATCAAAAGAGATAAACACATCATGTGCATTACTGCACTTCATATGATTTATGAAATCAAAACTTGAGAAGTGTATCTTAAATGTTAATTATTTATTAACACAAAATTAGATACATAATTTCTTCTAACATTTGCTTTAATTAATTATCTCATCCTCTTAAAACAGAGGAGCTGAGCAACCCAAAATCCTAATTAAAAAAAAAAACTTCAAAGTCCCCAAAATTTACAACCTTTCAGCAATAAATCCACCAAAATAAAAGAAAATTTATACACATTCACTCCAATTATCTGATCATTCCTCCTCACTTAGCTCTTCATACCCCTGTCGAAACCATTTGTCTTGTATAATTTCATCAATACTAATCCGGGTTTCTGGGTTCGGATCCAATAACCTTAATAACAACCACTTTAAACCAGTGGACATCTTCTTAAGCAATCTGAACTCCCCTCTCTTCATCTTCTCCACCATCTCCTCTAAATCACCTTCTCCATCGAAGGGTAGAAACCCTGCACTCAATACATACAAAACAACACCACATGACCACACATCCGCCTTCGCTCCATCGTACCCTCCACCTCTCCCCGCCATGATCACCTCTGGTGCCGCATACTCGACAGTCCCACAAGGTTCTGTCAGCATCGGTCCAGGTTGAGTTGGGTCATCATTGATCGCTGACAGGCCGAAATCTGATAGCTTGAGGCTCCACTTGTCATCTAGGAGGAGGTTTTCGGGTTTGATATCGCGGTGGAAAACCCCTCGGGAGTGGCAGTGCTTGACAGCGGAGATCAGCTGCTGGAAGTAATGACGTGAGAGATCCTCCGCAAGAGGACCTCGCTTCGCGATCATCTCAAACAAGTCGCCGCATTTCGCAAATTCTGTTATGACAAAGACTTGGCCGCTTCCAGCTGCAGCTATGACTTCGACAAGTTTGGTGACATGTTGATGATTTAGCCGGCTCATAGCCTGTATCTCAACCACGTCAAGGTTGTCGGCTGATTCGAACGATTTAATCGCCACGGTCTCGCCACTGCGAGTGTCCCGGGCTTGGTAGACCTTAGCGTAGGCACCGTTGCTTAGGAGCTTGGTGAGCTTGTATTTCCCAGAGAAGTATCTTTCTGGCATTGTTTTAGGTTTCAGTTAAGACTTCAGAGTAAAAAAAAAATGTTTTTTTTTTCTTTGGGTGAGAAGTGTATGACCGTATCTATTGATAAGCCGAAATGGTCTTATATAAGGGGTTATAAAAAGCATATAATAAAATTTTATAAGGTGATATTTATAAAAAAATGTGATAAATAATGTGAGGTGGGTGGTGAATGCTGACTAGGGTATGAGACAAATAAGCAGAAGTTATGACTTGTGAGTTTGAAACCACGTGAGAATGAGCTGGAGCTGAATTAGAAGGGTGTAATTAGATTGAATTAGTCGTAACGCAAACTATATTTTATTTTCTTGATTGAAAATGCGGTTTCAAGTTCGCGCATCTAACCGAAATATTAGTCAACTATTAGGGGCTATTAGAATCAAAGAAGAGGTAATTTTGTGTCTAAATAAATCTACACTACTTGTGAACTAATAATATGCCTTTTTTATTCTACATAAAAAATAAAAATAAAAATAAGTAAATATAAATGCTATTCTAAACTAATCGAATATTCTTGGCATTATTGTTTATTCGTCTTATAAAGTTATGTAGCTGATAATTCTGACTACGTGTTGTTATACCTAATATCCGGCAACTTATTGTATTGCAATTTTTATATATTTTGTTTTACGATATTTGGAAAAAAGTCGGTAAATTATTTTTAATTTGACTAGTATATGATTGGATTTTATTGATTTGTTTGTAAAAAACAGGAAAATAAGGTGATCTAACAAGAGGAGAGAATAAATACTATTTCGCAGTATAATGTGGTGAGTTTATTTTTCAAATTTTTTTTCTCCAAGTGTTTAAACTTATCTGTATGATTTTTTGGTGGTTGATGCTAGAAAATCAATGTGTTAGGTGATTATTAATCACTAATTTTGTAAAAGAGTTAAAATTGGAATTATAAACTCCATATTATATACTCCCTCCATGTAGTTTCATAGTAATGACTGCGTATTTTTTTTAAAATTTTACTAAAACTTAATGTACGATATTACGGAGTAATAATCAAACGAGTGAGAGTGACTGATAGCTCAAGTGGTTAGAGTTTTCCTCCTAGTCTCCAACTCTCCACAGATTCTTAGATTGATTCTTACCTCCACCCTTGTGGAGGTATAAACCCGAAAAAAACAATCATACGAGTAATTTGGTCTATAAAAAAAGTATGCGGTAGATGAAGCAAACATTAAGAAATGGATGAATTATCTCTTTAAAAAAAAAAAAAAAAAACTGGCTAAATTATTAAAGAACTGGATAAATTATTGACCAAAATTTTATTCTTATTAAAAAAAAAAAAAAAAAAAAAAAAGTATAGACGGAGCTAATGCAGTTTAGGATAAGTGAGAATTGGCATCTCAGCTGTACTGTCGTTGATCATAATGGAAGTTGGAATAATTGAGCCAACTGTACAATGCTTAAACGTGTAGCTACATAGTTGGTAATCAAGGTTCTAAAACATTATCCATCTGATAATTCAATATTACAAGTTGAATGAATGTGCTCCCATCTTTCTCCGTCTTATCATTTGTTCGATAGCTTGATTTTAGACTGACACATGTTATATTCTTCTTACACCATTTGGCTAACGATTTATTCTAGAAGGTGCCAAGCTCATATCACTCACTTATCTAAGTCCATTTTAGTGTTTTCCTGAATTCATCTATTTATTTTTATTACGTAATTTACTAGATGTTCACGTGAATCATGTCTCTCTTGATTTGACTGTTTTTTTTTTTTTATAACTAAAATATAATAATTCTAAATGTTTAAAATATTAGAAGAATTAAAATTATGCAATAAATCTAGAGGATACATTTATGTTAAGGGTTTGTTCATTTTATTTTTTCCGTTTTATGTTTCTTAGAAAACTAAATAAAAAAAAAACTATACATGCACAAGTAAATTATAGTGGTTTATAATTTTTTATTAATCAATATTTTAAAAAATGAAATTTAAGAACTGAAAACTACTCTGTTTAGGGATATAAAAAAAAAAAAAAAAACCCAAGATCCCGTAAAAAAAAAAAATCCTTAAGATGATGATGTTGGGAGTTTAATTAGTACTCAGTAATTACTACAGAGTAAGAGATTGCCTTTTTTAAAAATCACATTTTAGTCTCTTATGTATGTATGCTTTGTACTTTGTGACTTTTTGTAGCATTTGGAATGAATTTTCTGCACTTTTAACTTGCTTAGGTTTAAACACAGTACAAAAATACAAGGACTAACTTGTTTGAACTTTGAAGAATTCAAAGACATTTGTTCAAATCGAAGAAAATTAAAATTAAAAATTTATAAGGACTTAATGTATTTTCTTTCACCTTTAAATACACACAGATCAGACTTTAGTGGATGAATTGGTTAGACAATAGACTTATAGACTCATGGACTGCTGAAGGAAAAGGAGACATTTTAGTGGATAATTTGGTTAAAATGATGAGATCAGCAACTTTTCTATGAACTATTGAATTTTTTTATAAATTTTTTCTACTACTTTTATTAAGGACGAATAATATGTCATTGATAGAAAGTTGTCTGCCATTTGTAATGAAATTAATTCGTGAACATCTCATCAACTTAAATAATAATAATAATAATAATAATAATAATAATAATAATAATAATATTTCTGTTAACGTCCTATCAAAATAAATAAAAATAAAAAACGTAATCATCTCTAGACAAAAAAATTCAAAATATTGTGACTAGATACTTGAGGCAACTCCATAGCCACTATTTATATCTTATTGTGACTTATAAGTAATCTTCAATGACTTTGCATCTTAATTTAATTTGTAGACTTTCATAATATGGTATTTTTTTTTTCTTTTGGGATCAAATCTTTGAAATAAAATATTCAGTAATCCTTTGTATAATGTTATAGTGCAAATCACGTCCCTATAAGAGGATTAGGATGGAAAATTCATTCTTATTGAAACACTGATTGAATCTAACAACACCCTTAAAAATTAAACACTACTAAAATATTCCATATTTGGATTATGCTGTCAAACAAACCTATGAGGCTATGAATGGCCTCTCTCTCTCTCTCTTTCATTTTTTATTAATGAAACAGTATGCTCATTGTTTGTGTATTCTTCCAAAGAAATACAAAGTACTACTACTCCGTAATAGAGTAAACAAGTTGTGATATTAGGTCTTATATACCCCTTTTCACTAAGCTGTAATCATTAGCAGTTACATTTCCAAACATTCAAAAATTTCGAATATGTAAACCAACATGTAATTGCATGCTTTATGTGGGTAGTATAAAAGTTAAAAAAAAACCATTAGGGATGATATGAAGAGTATGAAGTAAGCAACCAATTAATTGATAAGTGCTTTCTGCATAGATCCAGAATGCCTCTTTCCCTCCAATTAATTATCTTGATTGTTAATTCTGCCACTTCTGAACATGTAACCATTATGTTATAATTGCCTTGCTTTTCTTTTCATATCATAATATCAGTAATATTTTAATTAAAACTAGTACAGATGCTCAGAACTCTTAAGTAAGCAATCAATAACTGATAAGTGCTTTTCTTATTTGGTTCCGAATGACTCCTTTTCCCATAATTATTTGGTTTGTAAGGTGTGGTACTTCCTAACATCTAATTACGTAGCTAAACAATATGCTAAATTGCCAATGCTTTTTTCCAGGTGACACAAAAGTTTATAAAACCTGTAAATTTGAGCTGATGTTTGCAATCCATTAATTCCTGATTGGTGCCTTGTTGGTCTAGAATACTATTTTTTTTAGCTAATTATTGGTTGGGGCGGGGAGATGACCTAGGTGTTATTGTTTTATAGCTAATTATTTAGCAAAACACTTAAATATGTTGCATCATGCAATGTTAACTGCTTCAAGGTCCCTGGGGTCCGGCACTCCAGAGTCTGTTTGTTTCTGAGTCAGCCATCACTTAGCGTCTGATATTTTTTAAGCAAATACCTGATTTCATGGCTGATTTAAGTATTTAAGGTCTATACCACACCTTCATTTGACATGGTTAATTGATTATAATTATATATAGCTTATATTTTACCATCTAAATGATCTCTTTATTTAAAGTTGCTGAGGTGCTACCAAGTACCAACCTACTACTGTGCTGTGCCTTCAGCATACTTTATTTTAAAGTTGCTGAGGTCATGAGGTGCTGCCAACCTACTACTGTGCTGTGCCTCCAACATGCTTGATCTCATGTTCCTATAGATCTATTCTTTATATGAGGTTGTAGAATTCCAAATGATTTTTGAATTTGTTCTTGTTTGCAGATTCTGCTTTACACTACTCTGTCATGCCTTCTAGTCTGCTGTCTGTTATCTTTCTTGTTTTATAAACGAACGTAGGTTGCATTTGTTCTTAATAATGACGTTGGCTATTTCAAATCTGTTCTTGCAGTAAGATTCTTGACTAGTCTACTGTTTATGCGTCTTAAACTGGCTAATTTGTTTCAGCATGGAAGATGGACATTTCAAAAGAAAGATAAATAACTTAGTACAAGCATGTAATTTGACACTGTTAGATCTTTCAAATTTTATAACAGTGGAGTATTTTATGATTTCATCGGTCAACCACGAAAATTTTTCTGGGTTGCTGTAGCCTGCGGCCACTCTGCGGGATAGGTAGTAAACCAGTGGACCTTAATTTGGTAATAGTGTATCTGCATAAATTAGTACCAAGTTTCACCTGTTTTTTAAAATTTAAGTAATAATCAAGCATTTGACGGTGTATAAACCTAGATTTTATTGACATCAGGTTTATTTACAGGCTTTGGTAATATAAATAGCATGGGTAATATAAACAAATACAGAGCAGCCGGTTAGCTCAGTGTCAGTAACTTAAGTCTCCTGGAGTCCTTGCTAATAATATTTCCTTTTAAAAATCCTCCCATACTCACAAATAACTGTACATGTCTGCCCAAATAAAATAATTCTTCGTAGAATAACTACTGCATTACACTTACAGTACATCTAATGTAGTCTTAAAGCAAGAGCAAATTCATATTACTACCTATGTTGTATTTCACACCAATCCAATTGTTCACATGCTCATATATATGTACATATCCTCTTAAACCTTAGTACATCAACTAATACTAGATTACTAGTACTCAAAACTATAAACCAAACAAACAAAAAATAAGGGATGTAAAATATACTACTTTATATAGTAACATAAATATGCAGCTAATAATTAAGTAGGAAGAGGCTGCACCCAAGAAGATTTATCTAAATCAGGACGAAAATACCCAAAATTCCTAAGCACCTGATTATCAGCAAAATTCAATGCTTTATTCATCCCTTTTAAACAAGATTCCCAACTATACATCTCATTATGTTTCCCACTGCATGGCTCACACCCTGTAAAATGTGTTATAAATGGTCTCTTCATCAATTTCACCCCTTCTTTCTCCATACTATACTCCCACTGCGCACGATAGTCTTCCCCTGCTTTCTCCGCGTGTTTCCTCCTTAACTTGCGCTCTTTCGCCTCAACCTTGCTATAATACGCCGTAATGTTATCCAAATTATCTACAATTTCCACCCAATACCCTTCAAAGTAATACTCATCTTCTAAGTATATCTTGTCTTTCCATTTTTGCCCTTCTTTCACCATTAGATAAGCTATCCCTGTTTGATCATCTGATTCCGGGTATAACTTATCAGTAAACACTGACTTCATGATTGCCCCCCATTTCTCGTAGTCTGGGCTTAATGGGCCGAAACTGGCCCATTTCTCTATCAAATCCATGGACCATTGACAGTTTCTGATCAGAAAAACACCAGCATTGAGCCCAGTCCAGCTCTTCTTTTCAAACACCAATTTGGGCCAACCATGGATCACTAAATTATGGGCCTTGTACTTTTCGAGTGGGAGGGTGAAGTCCATGTCAGTAATGGCTGCGTCTGAGTCAACCCACCAGATCCATTCGGCTTCCGGGTGGGCCAACATTGCGGCCTTTATAACCGGATACTTGGCCCAAAATGTGAACATTTTTGGATCCAATAACACGTTGTTGTAGAATATATCGTAGCCGTGAATCCGACAGTAGTCCACTTTATTCTTAAAGAATCTCAGCAGGTAGAGGTCCCCTACTGGGTTTTTACACGGGCCGGGTTTTGACCCGGTTACCATAACAACCCGGTTCTGACCCGTGAATTCTGGGTTCCGGCTAAGCCACTGTTTTCGCTTCTCGTCCCAATTTTGGACTTGGGTTTGGAGAGTGTAGGATAATTCCGGGTCGTCGTAGAATGTAGTCGGGTCGGGTCGGGTTTCGGTGGGTTGAGATGGGGAAGAGAAGTTAGAGGATGAGGAAGAAGAAAGAGGGGCTGTGAAGCACCAGAGGGACCATAGAAGAAGGAAAGCAACAAGAGAGCCACCCAAAAACATTACGACGTCGGAGAAATACGACGTCGTTTTTTGGCGGAAGACGGAGATTTTGGATTTAAGTGGCGTTTCATATGGTGTTTCTGGGTTTACCATAGTTGTGTGTGTTTGTGTTTGGATGAAGAAAGAGAGAGAATTTAGGAAAGAAAAGAGAGAGATATTAGGAGTGAGGCAAAGAAAGTATGGGGGTTGCCTTTTCTCTTAAAAGGAGTGGAGTAGTAAATTGAGAAACGAAGAAAACTGCACTAACAGAGGAATTAAAGTTTGGTCCCACTAAAGTTATATCACGTAGATGTTTAAATATGAACGCGATACGAGTTTATCATAATAATAAGATCAAAGGAGGTTCTATTTCAAAATTATACTAGTAATAGAATAATACTCACTTTTGAAAAAGTTCATAGGAGCAGGATTAGTACTTGTACTATATATGAGTAGTAAGTATTCATAGGAAGTTTTATTTCAAAATCATACTAGTATGGAGTACTCTTTAGTAAGCAATAAGATCAAAATCGTAGCAGAATAGTAGTAATAGGAGGTATGATGGACCACTACCAGGTATGGACTCCTTTGGTCCATACCTAGGGGCAAAAATGTACTTTCAAGTAAATATTTAGACAGTAATTATTTTGTTACCAGCTGTAAAAAATACTCTCTCTCCTCTTTTCCCTTCTCTCTCCTCTTTCCCCCTCTCTCTCCTCTTTCTCCACCGGAAACCTTATTTTTAAAAAAAAAAAATTCTCACCTCTTTTCCTTTGTAATTCGAAGACCTCAAGGCTAGTTTGTATCTCGACCAGAATTTTTACCGGAAAATCAATTTGAAAACCTTTAAGTGAGAGGAGAGAGAAATCACCATCACCATCATCATCTTCGTCTTCATCAACAACAATGCCGGTGGGTTACTACATCGTCCTCACCACCACCGCTATCGAATATGTATAATAATATCCAGAGCTACAATAACAGTATAAAATCATATAATAACAGTATATAAATCAACCATATTAGTATAAAAATCAATAACAACAGTATAGTCAAACCTACAATAATCATATACCAAAAAGTATACAAAACAATTCAACAATAACGGTATACAAATAAGAATTAATAGTATACAAAATAAAATAACAGTATACACGTTAATGATAACAGAGCACCGACAAACAATTAATGTCGTCATCTTCAACTCCTTCACATCCAAATTGTTTCGAACTTAGACAACACCAAACAAAGAACTCACCGTTTTTCATGGAGAAAGTCGTAAATTTGCACACCGGTGGTGAATTCATCGTCTCTCGTGACCAAAACAAGATGTTTAAAGAGCTTGAAAATCCTTCTCCGCCCTCCAAGTAACCTTTTATCAACCACAAAATTTGTTGCTCCGGTCCGGCGCCGGTCATTTTTTCACAGGAAACAACAACAAAGAGGGGAAAGTAATTTCTCACTCCTCCTTTTTCTTTTTTACACACCCTCGTTCTCATTTTACCCCCTATTTTATTTTGCCTTTTTTTAATTCACAAATATTATTTTTTTATTCAGGTATTAAACAGGGGGTCCATACCGGGTAACGGGCTATAGTTTCTCGTATTAATAGTGGTCCTATGAAATTTACGTTTGTTGAATGTTGATTACTACTAATGAGTCTTGACTCTAGAGTGAAGAGAGAGAGGTTGGTTAAGTCTGTTGTTGTTTCATGCTGGAAAATAAAGTAGAAACTGGTAGGATGAGGACACGTGGAAATGAATGTTAGAATTTCACTGTGTTTTCTATTTGGTGCTTTGGTAACCGACACAGTTTTATTGGGCATGCCAAATTTTCGGGACAAATAAGTCGCTTTTCACGATAAATTGCCTGTTAGAAAGGGGATTGCCTGTGAAACAATTTTGGCTTTTTCACAAGTCTTATTGTGGAAAGATTATAAAGATCCTACCTGATCTTGCTACTAATAGAGATCATAGGAATTAAGTAGAGATCCATTCTCAATTTCTTACGTATAGATATCATAGAGTACATATAATGAACCCCCCTATTCGTAGTAAACATATAAGTTAGTGTACGCATCACACGTCAACTCACTCGTGTTGACGTTTGATGTGCACACATTAGAATGATTAATAGTGTCCATAAATTATGATGTAGACTTAAGTGCATAGTCTCAAATTCATAGACTCTTATGAAGATATGAGGTAGTTGAGGCCATAAATGAAATTTGCTCTTGTATAGTATACTTATATGATAGGTGCTCCTAATTCAAAGAAAAGAAAGAGAGAACTGTGATTGTACATTGTTTTTTTATTTTAGAGGCAATTCAACTTTGTGTAAAATGATTAACGATTAATTGTACTATATTATATAAAGACTGATTAGGAGATAGATATAGTATATAATTAAACTTGTACGCGTCTGAGCGCCATAGTATGTTGGTTGCTTTAATAATTCAATGAATGAGATACAACAGACTAGTGGAAGTAGGGGAACTTCAATAATAATATTGGTACCAGTAAAGTAAAGTGAAGTGAAGCAAAGCAAGCAAGTTAATTCCTTAAAAAAAGAGGGAACTTCTTCACATGGAGAGAATGGTGAGGTGGGCAATGCTGTAGGCCGAGTTACTAACTTGTTCAAAAATTGCCATGAGTCATGGGCCTGCATCTCCTACCCAGATACCCAGAGTTGTGGGACTGCTCATTAATGTTCTGAGATCTGGCCCAATTTTATAGTCCATTATAATTAATTAATTATATACCACTAATCATCACGTCCAAATGAACCGACAGATTTCTCCTCACAACTTGCTCTTCATATGTGAGCTCATACTTGCATCCCTCTAAACATCCTTAAAGAGTTAAAAGGTCAACTACCCAAAAGCTTAGTCTTAGTGTTATCAAGGAACTCCTGTAGATCTTGGATTTCTATGAAATAGTGTAGTCACGTACTTGGTCGTATTTTAGAAAATGAAGGTGGGTGAAGTAACCAATTATATTTTCGACCTTTGGGATCAAGCTATCATATATATCAAACCTCTAATAGCCAATTATGTGATTGTATTTTGTAGTCTAGGATGCAAGTAAAATGTTGCAAACAAGACTTCCTATTATCGAGGCCTTGAGGGGATGTTTATGGCTCAATGAAAAAACAAGGTTTCATCCCAAAATCAATTGACCGTAGACAATAGCTCAATAACATATTAGGAGAATAAATATCAATACACCATACTGTATTACTGTGATTGTCATAAATGAAATCTATTGAATCATGTAATCATCCAAATGATCTCAATGAAAGTGTAGTACTTTTCTTAATTTATTTTTTTACTTCCAAAGTTCCAAGTACTTGAAATTGCTATAAGGTGCAAGGGGCAAGTTTTTTCTGTCCTGCTCACTGTCTCAGCTGGTGTATGACTTCCCCTGCTCTGCATTTTTTCACCAGTTTCTCAACCCATTTCCTTACTTTTAAACCAAATTATTAGCCTTTCTGCTACTTTCTGTTATGTATATATCTTCTTTACTGCCAACTCAGAATTCCATAGCCCAGTAAATAATTGAATACAATGATACAATTACTTGTCTTCAGTAAATAATTTTCTCTAGACATTGATAAATGTCCAACTGCACAAGTACATAACCTTTAAATGGGTTTCTATTTCAAATCAATTTGACAAAGGTAGGAGTAAGTGTAACTCATTAAGTTTATACTTCGTACATTAGAGCACAACGATTTTACTTTTCCTATTCGATGTGGGACTTATTGATCTATACCGGAAACTCACGTCAGACATGGGTTCCAATTGTCAGACTAGGCTTAATATAGAAATTTTATCCATTTTTTTTCAAGTGTTTATACTTATGTTACTATGTATAGATTTAGCATGAGTAAGTGAGAAGAAATGAAGAATTGAGTAGCATAGCGTATATATTTGCCTGACAACATGAAGATTATGAACAAAAACAAAAATCAGATCAAAACAGATTTGAAAATGTATGATCTACATGAGATTTTTTTGCAAAAACTAACAAGCACATTAATAATTGTTTTCCTGCAAAAGCCCTTAGTACAATATTCAAAGTGGAACACTTTAATCTGTGTCACCTATTCAATAGCTACAGAAAGGTTGATGCACTGAACATCATATGCGTTAATCCACTAATTACAATTGAGAATGAAGAATGTTTACAAATAATGATACTGACCTAGATTTTTCCAGAAACTTTGCCTAACAACCTTCCATGTCTCTCCACTGAAGATATACCAACCCTGCACAATAATGACTGTACGCCCCAGCAATAACTAGTACATGAAACAATTGATGGCTATGTCCTGCAAGGTCGAATTTCCCAGGCATCCATCGCTCAGGAATTCTGGTTGCATAAACCAGGGCTCCGAGGAAATAAAACAATCCCATCAAAAGCTCATAACCAGTACTGTAGAGTGCTGCAGGCTGTTGCCAATATATGATATTTTTGTGCAGAATTGGCAGTAAGCCAGACAGCCCCATCCCAGAAAATAGAATAGCTCGTATGGTTCGGAACTCTGGATTCTGAAAGGCTGGGAGGAGAGAAAGCAGAACTGTCGCAATTGCCAAAACAGTGATGAAACCCATGTAAAGATTGCGAAAGAAGGGGTAGCACATGAAGGAGTAGTAGACCAGAGGGTAGAAAGACGTTGATATTAGGGATGCAATCCCAGCATAGTCCACCCTGAGCATGATGTATGCTAAGCGTTCTGAGTGGCAGGTTAAGAGGTGACATACGCTGCTAGCTAGCAAACAGAACATGGCTCCTCCTAAATAGGCGTAGAATGGCCAACGAGTTATTGGTTGCCTTATTAAGGGTATTACATTTGCCATCTCATCTGCCACGCTATGCTGCAGCAACAGAACACACTTGTTACAAACAGAATGCTTGCTTACAGGAGAGATGTCTAGAAAAAATTATCTTGGCAATCAACATAAAATTCCTTTTAATATACCTATGAATGTAAAGACTGATAAGAACATTTGTTATGAGTGTTCCTATATATAAGTAACATTTAGAAAATTAGAAACAGGTTCATTGCATTTAAATCCTCCTTTTTCTGCTACTTAAAGCCTTTCAATGAATGACCAACACAAACTATCTGGTATTACTCCTACAGTGAAAATTCATCATTATCAAGGGCTAAAAATCAGGAACCTACCAGAACCTTTACATCCGTGTGGTTTCCACTCAAAACGCGCTCTGGCAAACATTTTGAGAGGAGCTCTATTATGTGCCAACCAGACAGCGACTGAAGCATATCCATCGATGGCAGAGATGTTTTCAGTTCTTCGGGAAGCTTGTGGAGATCAGACATGTCAGGTAATGAAGGCAAACATGTCAATATATCAGCATGCATTTTGTGCAGATCTGCTCTTCTGATTACATCAGGAAGATGTTGAATAGAATGGAGATCCACAACCTCAGGAACCTTCTTGGCAGTGTATATTGTCAAGCAAAGGAAAAAGAAGAATCCGATCAAATGCCTGCGTCATGATTATGGTACCAGTAACAGAAATTAGTCCATCAAAAATAGTCAAACGAGGCAAATCCAATGGACGAAGGGAGTAACGGAAAGCAGCACCCAAGTGTGCAAATGTGGTAATAATTACACCTAAATTTTCAACACCAACTAATTACTTCTAAAAATAACCCATCTTTAAAGTAGCAAGTACATAAATTTGTTGACATTTTGGTTATAGAATTAAACTACAGTAAAAGAAATTGAACACATTTTATGCAGCTTGGACCACCTGCCCACATTCGTTCCTACCCTAAAAGTGTCTGCAGAATGTCAGGACAATCCATTTTGCAAAAATAGAATCATTTACAATTGCATCATTTACTAGTTAGTTTCATATTAATGGGCCTTTCATATTAGTTATATAACCTTCACATTAATCCTTTGACAAAGGAAAAAATGATTTAATCGGGCAATTCCTCACCAGAAACAGAAATCC